GGGCGCGAGTTCACGTGTTATGACTACACATTCCTCTTTCTTGTTCATTTCAGGGTCTTTTGCTGAAACCCAAAATGCTTCCAAGCTTTTTCGCGGAGCGATTTCAGGCTCCTGCGCCAGGATGGACACAGTTACCTGAAACTCGACATCTCCATGATACTCAACCCGATGGCAACCAAGTGGCGTCCGGACTTGTGATCTTCGTAAGCCGTCCAAATGTTCTTTAACCCGTATGCGAAAAGGACGGCCCGTTTCCCCTACTTATTTACTTCGCTGCCTCGCATGTGATAGTGAATATGTAGGGCTTTTTCATGCCGCGTTTATTTTTTTTGGATGAGGCGTGAGGGTGGAGGACCACATTACAGGGAGCGAGCGCGAGGCGCACTTTATCACGTCACGCAAAGCCCCTGTCAACTACAGAAGTACCGATTCATGGAGTGGTTAATAAGTGGTCCACACCTTAGCACTCCACCACCAGCGGAAGCAGTGTGTCTAATGCATGCCACTGTAAATTAGTAGCCGTCAGGTTTACAACTTGAAACATATCACAAAGTAGTAATAAGAAATAACAAAAAAAAACAAAAGAAAGTACTGCTCAAAAGTGCACTTCCTGAATTAAGGACTCGGATACCTTATAGAGAGGCTCTGATCCAAGGCAATGCCCTCCGTGCTCCTCGTACTCTTTGAAAATCGTTCTGAGATAATGGTCTGTCGGCTGGTTACGGAACCCTTTCAAACGATACGTGAACGTACCTGTGGTAAGCGTATCATTAAAACAAAACTATATAAACAGCTACACAAAACAGGCTTTCGATTCAATCTCCACCCCAGCTTCTGAAAAAATCCCTAAGAGCGCTCAAGCCCACGCACCACGACGAAACCCAGCGGAAGCGTGGCAGCGCTGCTCGTGCAGAACCACAGGCACAAGGGCAGAATAAGTGCGCTTACATAATTATTAAACACCAGTCGGCTCGCCGGCTGACGCCGGGCGGGCGCGGCTTCGCCGCGCGTATTTTCTTTCACATATTTCTAGACTCAACTGATATCCGCCTTTTGTTCTGTACTCCACTTTTTTCCGGTGTCTGAAGTACTCTTGAGCTATTTTACAGATTCTTCGTCTGACTCCGCCCACCTCGGAGCAGGCCCGCCCACAATGTTTGTGCCCCACAATCCTCACCGGCGACCCTCTGCTGACCTTAATCCACGTTTTTCCGGTCTTTGAAGTGCTCTGGGACAGTTTTAGAGAATTTTCGTCTGGCTCCGCCCACCTCGGGCTGGCCCCGCCCACAATATGTATACCCCACATTTCTCAATCGGCGACCCCTTGCTGACCTGAATTCACTTTATTCCGGTCTTCGGAGTGCTCTGGAACCGTTTTACAGACCTTTTTGTCTGGCTCCGCCCACCTCGGAGCAGGCTCCGCCCACAATGTTTTTGCCCCACAATCCTCACCGGCGACCCTCTGCTGACCTTAGTCCACTTTTTCCGGTGTCTGGAGTGTTCTGGAACCGAGCTACAAACTTTTAAAATGAATACCCTGCGATTTAGGGCAAGCTCCGCGTGCCCTATATTCGCCAGATATTTACATTCTACACTGAGTTTTTTGCGACTTAACACTCTCGCGAACCGGGTCACTGA